TTTCCTGACATCCCCCTTTTTATCCTTATGCAATATTTAATTTTCCAAGGAGTAGCCTTGGGAGTCTGTCGCAGAAAAACATCCAACTCCTGTGGCACCTTCCAGACTAAGGTTTTAAGTTAAATCTTTTAAGTATCATAGGATTCTTTGTATATTAAAGATATTCGGAAGTAGCTATGTCAACCCTGCAGCAAGTACAAAAAAACCAATACCCACAAGCAGCAATACCTATATTGGGCCAGCTCCAAAGAGTAAGATGCATTTAAAGCTTTGCAGACCTCTTTATCAGTCAGTTATGAAAAGTTATATAGGGGAAAAATGGCAATAATAATAATAATAATAAACTAATTATTATTAAATAATAAATATTATTAAATAATTAAATAATATTAATTAAATATTATTATTATTATATAATATTATTAAATAATATTATTAATTAAATAATAATATTAAATAATATTAATTAAGTAATATTAAATTATTATTAAATAATAATAATAATAAACTTTATTTATACCCCGCCACCATCTCCCCAATGGGGACTCGGAGTGGCAATTGTGTTTACATTTTGTCTGAGATGTCAGGGTTTTTTTATTGTGTAAGAAGTAAATTGAGAACGTACTGCAAGTCGCCTCTGGTGTGAATCAGCCATCTACAGAGTCGTTGCTTAGGAGAGACCCGGATACCATCCTGTGGGAGGCTTCTCTCATGTCCCTGCATGGGAAGCTGGGGCTGACAGATGGGAGCTCACCCCATCTCACAGATTTCAACCACCAAACTTTAAGTCAGCAGTTCAGCTGGCACAAGGGTTTAACGCATTGTGCCACCACATCTCCCTATTTTGTCAGTTAAGATGGAATTGAGGGATCTGTTGTTTTCTGTTGTTATCTGTTGTTATCTATTATCCAATCCAATCCAATCTCCAGTATACTTTTCAGTCATTGATTATTGCTCTCCGTTGATACTGCTTTGCTTCTATAACGATTTCTTTTCGGCTCTCTTAGCTTTTCTTTCCCAATCTTTGTGCTGGTGGTTGGTAGAGTGTGCCCTTTCGTGAGTCTGCCCTTTCGTGCGCTGTTCCTTGAGGTGGACACCACTTAAACACCGCTGGCCGATTGCAACTAGGGTCTTCTCTCTCTCAGGCCTCAAGACTACATGTTAGAGAGGGAGATAATTACCTCCCTGACTCAATCTTCCCGGTGTCTCCATGCGGAGCGCATGAAAACACGTCCTCTACTCTGTAACCACCAACCGGAAGACCCTGTCCTGTGCAAACTACCTGCTCCTTTCTTTTGAACCAGAATTATCCCAATAAAAGTATGTCGTCTTGTGGGATTTGAATACATAATAATAATAATAATAATAATAATAATAATAATAATAATGCCTCCTCTCTCCAGCTTACAAATATTATTATTATAAATAATAATACATAACCAGTTAAATCAAACAGGAAATCCAAAGGATAAGTCATAATACATAGATTCATCACAAATAAATATAAAACTATGTGACAATTAAGGCATGTAATATACTAAAACATTTCAGAACCAACTCTTATTGGTAAAGACAATATATTAAAGCCACTGATGAAATGGACACCCACCTCCTGGAACCAACAAGATTTGCTGCAGAGGCCTTGGTTGAAGGGAGGGATGTTTATGAAAAACTAAGAAAGATGCAATGGGAGGAGAAACTTCAGAATTTCTCTCAACTTCACTGATTTCAAACAGGTTGTAATGTGACACACCTCTCCCTGCCCCACACAGGCTAGAGCAAGCAGGACCCCTGGACTGCCCCATGAAAATGGGCAGAGTAGGCAGGCAATTACACTAGTAAACACAGGAGGAAAAAATGGACAACATATTCTCCGTGTTTTTGGCTCTTAAAGAAACAAGGTGGACCTATGTTTTGTAGCCTGATGATGCTTTGAGAAACTGAAAAGCAAGGGTAATAGATTCTCTTAAGGAGACCCCCGGTGACGCAGTGGGTTAAACCCCTTTGCTGGCAGGACTGAAGACCAACAGGTTGCAGGTTCAAATCCGGGGAGAGGTGGATGAGCTCCCTCTATCAGCTCCAGCTCCTCATGCGGGGACATGAGGGAAGCCTCCCACAAGGATGATAAAACATCAAATCATCCGGGCGTCCCGTGGACAACGTCCTTGCAGATGGCCAATTCTCTCACACCAGAAGCGACTTGCAGTTTCTCAGGTCGCTACTGACACAACAACAAAAAATAGATTCTCATACTAAAAGGCAAAATGCTCAAGGTTATATACAGAATTATCTTTCTAAGTAGGCATACAAGAAGCATACATCGTGGTAATTGTTTGGATTTATTATGGCGGCTATTGAATTTCGAACTGTATTCTGCATGCTACCAAATTGTTTAAAATTCCCATCAAGAGGCAGTGTTGTAAGAATTGCACTGTAAGATGCTATGAAGGACATATATATATATAGTATCCCTGCTACATAATACATAATTTCTTCGGATATTCAGTTTTAATGCATGACAGTACAAGAAATAATTGAACATCGCTATACTGGAAGCTATGTACATTAAAGATGGCCCCATTCAGACTGAAGTGGTCAAGCGTCTCGCAGGAGGTGTTACCAAAATCACTGTGGACACATATGTCTGCTCCTTTATGTATTTGGTGCATAAGTGACAAATACCTGAAAAAAATTAAAATGTAGCTGTAACTATCAAGACAAAATCCCTCCCCTACTATTAAGATGTCACACAGCACTAGTGGAGCTCTGTCAGCCAGAGTTGTCGACTGTTGTGACTACAATTCTAGCTAAACTACTAGTTAGGTGTGCACTGCGTAACCTTGGGTAAGTAAGACATTCTCTCTCACCCTCAGAGGAGGGCAAAAGCAAACCTATTCTAAACCAATCTTGCCAATAAAATCCCATGACCAGGTTGCCCTAGGATAACCATAAACTGGAAACAAGGGAGGAACAGTGTTCAGTGTCTCATTCTATGTAATGCTAGAAATTTGGAACTGAATGAAATTTCACTAGGGGACCAAATTTGAACTTTGAAGGGTAATTCATTATTTTCTGAGGGGTGTTTTCTTATCACCCCGCCCCCCCAATATACATACACAACTTTAAGCTATACGTCAGATAACTCCATGTCTAAACTTGGTATTTCTCCACTTCTCCTTTGGGTTCAGAGTAGGTAGCTGAAAGAAGAATAGATTTGATCCAAAGATGTCCAGTTGTTGTCCTTTGGTTAACAATCTTGACTATAACAAATACAATAATGGGCCAGATCAAAATCATCTTGAGATGAAATTCAGTGGTAAATTATTTTCTAGGGAGGAGCCCCCGGTGGCGCAGTGGGTTAAACCCCTGTGCCGGCAGGACTGAAGACCGACAGGTTGTAGAATCCGGGGAGAGCGAGGATGAGCTCCCTCTATCAGCTCCAGCTCCTCATGCGGGGACATGAGAGAAGCCTCCCACAAGGATGATAAAACATCAAATCATCGGGCATCCCCTGGGCAACGTCCTTGCAGACAGCCAATTCTCTCACACCAGAAGTGACTTGCAGTTTCTCAAGTCGCTCCTGACATGACAATTTTTTTTTCTAGGGATCATGAGGAAGGAATTTGAGGGAAATGAAGTTCCAATGCTTATCTGGTTCATAATATAGGGGCAATAATTTAGACAAATATGTGGGAATAAGATCATTGTGCCCCTTGTAACTAAATACGAGGGGTATTTTTAAAGTAAGGTCCGTTTTGTTGTAGACACTAGTAGTTCGCGTGCATACTGCAACGGGCGCATGCGTCGTGTAGCGTCGTGTACCGGAACAACTGTGCTCAGTTTCTGCTCTGTAGCTAACCTGTACGGTTCTGTTCTGTGCTTTAAAAATGTTTAAGACTATCAACTCACCCGCCGCATGTGAGGTTCGCTCAGTGATACGGTTTTTGTCAGCAAGGAACCTGCCTGCTGCAGAAATTCATCGACAGATTTGTGAAGTGTACGGTGATACTGTTATGAGGGAAAGCAAAGTGCGTAAGTGGGTACGACAATTCAAAGATGGCCGTCACAACGTCCATGATGAGGAACGCTCCAGTCGCCCTTCTTTGATTACAGACGATGTGGTTATTGGAGCAGGCGGCAAGTTTTTATGAAGAGGGTATTTTAAAATTGGTTCAGAGGTATAATAAGTGTTTGAACAAACTTGGCAGCTATGTCGAAAAATAGAGTGAAATATGTACTTTCTGAAAATAAATTTACTTTTTTGAAATATACTTTCGTTGTGTACTTATGTTCAAACGGACCTTACTTAAAAAATACCTCTTGTACAATAATGGGCCAGATCAAAATAATCTTGAGATGAAATTCAGTGGTAATTATTTTCTAGAGAGGAGCCCCCGGTGGCACAGTGGGTTAAACCCCTGTGCTGGCAGGACTGAAGACCGATAGGTCGCAGTTCGAATCCGGGGAAGGCGAGGATGAGCTCCCTCTGTCAGCTCCAGCTTCTCATGCGGGGACATGAGAGAAGCCTCCCACAAGGATGATAAAACATCAAAACATCCGGGCACCCCCTGCGCAACGTCCCTGCAGACGGCCAATTCTCTCACACCAGAAGTGACTTGCAGTTTCTCAAGTCGCTCCTGACATGAAAAAAAATTAAAATTGAGAAATAAATTTGAGGAAAATGAAGTTCCAATGTTTATCTGGTTCATAATATAGGGGCAATAATTCAGACAAATATGTGGGAATAAGATCATTGTGCCTCTTGTTAACTAAATAATTAACATGGAAATATCAACTAAACACCTGAGATAATTTTTCAGTACATAACCATTTTCTTCTGAAAATAAACGGGTGTGTGGCCCACTGAAATATTCTAAATGTTTCTAAAGCTTCTGTAATGTTCTTTAAAATAAAGAAACTGATATGAAAAAGTATACAACCCTAATAGCATATATAATACATACTTTACAAGTCCCAAATGCATTCATAGCAGCCAAATATTCTGGAGATAAGATATATTCATGTTTGCCGAGGAAGGAAAGATTCAGGAAGAGCTGTATCATACATTGTTTGCTTAATTTCTGTTTGGGCATAATGCACTGGGAAGACTTTCTGCACAATCTATATTGAAATGGATGGTAACTGTGCCAGTGTACCCTACTGAGGTAGATGCCTCCATGCCAGCTGTGCACCGGGATTGTGGCGCAGCTGGCTGAGTGTCAGCTGCATTAAGATCACTCTGACCAAAAAGGTCATGAGTTCGAAGCCAGCCCGGGTTGGAGTGGGTTTCCAACCAATTGTGTGTAGCCTGTTGTCGACCTTTGCAACCCGAAAGACAGTTGCATCGGTCAAGTAGGAAAATTAGGTACCACCTTAAAGTGTGGGGAGGCTAAATTAACTGATTTATGAGGCCATAAAGAAGACTCCAGCAAAGCATTCCAGTGGGGAAGCATGCGGGGAATGTGGAAGTGCTTCATCAGCGTCGCAGATGGACAATGAAAGCGACAGCTCCCCTGGCGGCCAGAAAAAGTTAAATAGCCTCTGTGTATGTCTGTATATGTTTGTATGTCAAAAACTGGCATTGAATGTTTGCCATATATGTGTACACTGTAATCCGCCCTGAGTCCCCTGCGGGGTGAGAAGGGCGGAATATAAAAGCTGTAAATAATATAAAAGATGTCACCCCACCTGGTTTTGGCATTGCAGCTCCCATATCACTTGATGAACTGGCAATGACTGATAGGAATTTTGGTCTAACATCTGGAGGGCAATAATTACGCTCCTTTGCCTTCTATTTTACTTGTGAGTTGTCCATAGGCATCTGGCCAACAGATGAGTGCCCAACTCTGTGGAGCTTTCATCAATCCTACAGGGATCTTCTTACCTTAACTTCCTAGTGCATTGTGCCCTTGTTTTCTTTTAAAATATTGATACACAGAACATGTACAACTTTGTGTCCAGCAAGTAATAAATGAATGCAAAAAGCACTTCTAGCTACAATATAGCTAGCGTTTTTGTTTTTCATAGGCATGCATCTTAGTTTCTATAAATAAAAGTCAAATGTGAGGTCACACTTTCCCATTTTCTGTTTGTAAACTAAGTCAAATTTCTCGTTCATGGAAACGGTGAAGATATCTTTCCATAGTCCGACTCTTCCTAGAAAAGAAAGGGGGGGGGGAGAGAAAGAAAAAGATTCAGGCTGAATAACAGAGATGATGTACAAGGGGTATTTTTTAAGTAAGGTCTGTTTTCTTGTAGACACTAGTAGTTCACGCGCATACCGCAACGAGTGCATGCGTCGTGTAACGGTATGCCTCGGGAACAACTGTGCTCAGTTTCCGCTTTGTAGCTAAACTGTACGGTTCTGTTCTGTGCTTTAAAATTGTTTAAGACTATCAATTCACGCGCCGCATGTGAGGTTCGCTCAGTGATACGGTTTTTGTCAGCAAGGAACCTGCCTGCTGCAGAAATTCATCGACAGATTTGTGAAGTGTACGGTGATACTGTTATGAGTGAAAGCAAAGTGCATAAGTGGGTACGACAATTCAAAGATGGCCGTGACAACGTCCATGATGAGGACCGCTCCGGTCACCCTTCTTTGATTACAGACGATTTGATTTCATCGCACACTCAAATCTTTGGTTTTTGTGGTCCTCTGTTAGGAGTTTCGGGACCCAACGGGAGCACCGTTTCCTAAACTTTAGGTGTTCAGAAACAATGTAGTAAAGCACTGATCTCGACACGTCAGGAAATTCGTTTGAGAGACCTGTTATTGTGAAGTGCCTGTTCTCACGAATCCTCGCTTCAACTGAAGCCACCAAATTGTCTGTAATCTGCACAGTTGTTCCCGGGGCATGCCGGTACACGACGCATGTGCTCGTTGCGGTATGCGCGCGAACTACTAGTGTCTACAACAAAACGGACCATACTTAAAAAATACCCCTCGTAGCATAACAAAACAGAGAGGCTAATCCTATGAATTACTTTAGAATTCCATTCAAACTTGTAGTCTCTCTCTCTCTCTTTCTCATCTGCTGTAGTACTTCAGAGTGCAAGTAAAATGTCTGATTGGAACAGGCAGAAGATGTGTCATGGGAAGGCCTGCATATATACAGTGTGTCTAGGGCAGGGGCTCTCAAACCTTTTAAACAGAGGGCCAGGTCACAGTCCCTCAAACTGTTGGAGGGCTGGATTATAATTTGGAAAAAAAAACATGAATGAATTCCTATGCACACGGCACATATCTTATTTGTAGTGCAAAAAACACGTAAAAACAATCTATATAATTAAAAATGTAATGTTAGTTTGTGGGATTAACATAACTCAAAAACCACTGGACGAATTGACACGAAATTTGGACACGATACCCCTAACAGACCAACGAGTGACCTTCACTCATAAAACCTCACGAAAAAATAGCGGAAAGAATTCAAAACCCCAAAAAGCTGAAGGACGAAAAGCTAAATGAGGATACAGAAAAAAGGCAAGGAAGAAGGAGGGAAGGAAGGGGAGAGAGAAAGAAATAGTTAAAGAAAGAAGGAAAGAGAGAAGGAAGCATGGAAGCAAAAGAGCAAAGGAAGGAAGGGAAGAGGTAGAGAAGGAAGAAAGGAGAGAAAGGAGAAGGAAAATAAAAAGGGGGGAAGAAGGAAAGAGGTAGAGAAGGAAGGAAGGAGAGAAGGAAAGAAAATAAGAAAGGAAGGAAAGAGGGAGTGAAGGAAGGAGAAAAGAGAAAGCAGGAGGAAGGAAGGAGGAAAAGGAGAGAAGAGGGAGGGAAAGGAAAAAAGGAAAGAGAGAAGGAAGGATGGAAGCAAAGAGCAAAGGAAGGAAAAAAGAGGTAGAGAAGGAAAGAAGGAGAGAAGAGAAGGAAAAAAGGGGGAAGGAAGGAAAGAGAGAGAAAGGAAGGAAGGAAGGAAGGAAGGAAGGAAGGAGGGAAGGAAGGAGACAAGGAGGAGAGAAGGAAAGAAAAAAGAAGGAAGGAAAGAGGGAGTGAAGGAAGAGGAAAGGAGAAGAAAGAGGGGAAGGAAAGAAAGGAAAGATAGAAGGAAGGATAGAAGCAAAGAGCAAAGGAAGGAAGGAAAGAGGGAGTGAAGGAAGGAGGAAAAGAAGGAGAGAAAGAAGGAGAGAAGGAAAAATGGAAAGAGAGAAGGAAGGATAGAAGCAAAGAGCAAAGGAAGGAAGGAAAGAGGTAGAGAAGGAAGAAAGGAGAGAGAGAAAGAAAGAAGGAAGGAAAGAAGAAAAGAGAGAAGGAAGAATGGATGGAAGGAAAAAGCAAAGGAAGAAAGGGAAGAGGTAGAGAAGGGAAGAAGGAGAGAAGGAAAGAAGAAAAGGGAAGGAAGGAAAGAGGGAGGAAGGAAGAGGAAGGAGAAGAGAGAAGAAGAGAAAGAGGGAGAGAAGGAAAAAAAGGAAAGAGAGAAGGAAGGAAGAAGCAAAGAGCAAAGGAAGGAAGGAAGGAAGGAGAGGTAGAGAAGGAAGAAAGGAGAGAAAGAAAGAGGGAAGGAAAGAAGAAAAGAGCGAGGGCTGGGTAAATGAGAGAAGACAGAGGGGAGCAGAAGACACTGCCATCTTGTCTTCTGCCTATAACATCACTTCAGAGGCCCCTCCCCCTTCTGGCACCAACGACTGCTCTGGCCAGAGGGAAGACAGAGGGGAGCAGAAGACACTGCCATCTTGTCTTCTGCCTATAACATCACTTCAGAGGCCACTCCCCCTTCTGGCACCAATGACTGCTCTGGCCAGAGAGAAGACAGAGGGGAGCAGAAGACACTGCCATCTTGTCTTCTGCCTATAACATCACTTCAGAGGCCCCTCCCCCTTCTGGCACCAACGACTGCTCTGGCCAGAGGGAAGACAGAGGGGAGCAGAAGACACTGCCATCTTGTCTTCTGCCTATAACATCACTTCAGAGGCCACTCCCCCTTCTGGCACCAACGACTGCTCTGGCCAGAGGGAAGACAGAGGGGAGCAGAAGACACTGCCATCTTGTCTTCTGCCTATAACATCACTTCAGAGGCCCCTCCCCCTTCTGGCACCAACGACTGCTCTGGCCAGAGAGAAGACAGAGGGGAGCAGAAGACACTGCCATCTTGTCTTCTGCCTATAACATCACTTCAGAGGCCCCTCCCCCTTCTGGCACCAACGACTGCTCTGGCCAGAGAGAAGACAGAGGGGAGCAGAAGACACTGCCATCTTGTCTTCTGCCTTATAACATCACTTCAGAGGCCCCTCCCCCTTCTGGCACCAACGACTGCTCTGGCCAGAGGGAAGACAGAGGGGAGCAGAAGACACTGCCATCTTGTCTTCTGCCTATAACATCACTTCAGAGGCCACTCCCCCTTCTGGCACCAACGACTGCTCTGGCCAGAGGGAAGACAGAGGGGAGCAGAAGACACTGCCATCTTGTCTTCTGCCTATACCATCACTTCAGAGGCCCCTCCCCCTTCTGGCACCAACGACTGCTCTGGCCAGAGAGAAGACAGAGGGGAGCAGAAGACACTGCCATCTTGTCTTCTGCCTATATCATCACTTCAGAGGCCCCTCCCCCTTCTGGCACCAACGACTGCTCTGGCCAGAGAGAAGACAGAGGGGAGCAGAAGACACTGCCATCTTGTCTTCTGCCTATATCATCACTTCGAGAGGCCCCTCCCCCTTCTGGCACCAACGGCTGCTCTGGCCAGAGAGAAGACAGAAGGGAGCAGAAGACACTGCCATCTTGTCTTCTGCCTATATCATCACTTGAGAGGCCCCTCCCCCTTCTGGCACCAACGGCTGCTCTGGCCA